CCCAGGACGCCTAATAGGCTACGGACGTCATGTCCCTACACACAGAAGCCCCCCTACCCTCCCCAAAAATATAACTTTATCCAAACAACAACCATATCAAGCAATTGAACAAGGATATGTGCATTACTATCGCCTCCAACTCTGGCCGAAGCACAGGCCTTCTAGTCCTCTTCATTTGTATTTAAGAGGCATTCTACGATTAATCCCGAAATTTATTCCTTCGTTTGACAACGCTGCATGCAATTGTCCTGTTCGGTCTGGTAGTGCTAATCGATTTCTTCATTCGTACCATTCTCATCCACTTGGTGGACACCACCTCTGGCCTCCGGCGACGGCAGGAATCGGGAATGCACCGAAACAAACTTTTAATTGCAAGGCGTCTCGCATTTACTTCTGAAAGTGACCGGAAATTAGTAGGCAAACTGCATTTACCTAGCTCATCATCTACTATGTAGAGTTGGGCAATATGGCGACAGAAGAGGTTCCAGGCCAACTGTATGCCGGTAAAGGCGGGTTACCCGTTAGACTGGCTGCTGGCTACCTAGCGCGTCCACAGGTGGCGGATAGTGACACGGCCTTCAGTGAAGGTTAGCTGCGAAATAAGCAGGCTCCCGGGTCTAGCGAATAAACAGTCGCGGACACATCAGCGACAGCTTTACCAGGGCGCGGAGGGCTGAGGTCTGGCGCGCTAAATGCCTTAAAAAATGCCGCAATTCCCAATGACGGCACTATGACATGGCGAGCGTGAAGCGCCACTAAATAGGTTTGCTTGCCACCACTGTCTTGAGGTTAAGCCCTTGAGCCAAAGTGCTAGAGGAGACAACCTGGAAGAAAGAAACCGAGCGTTTGTTGGGGAACCACCTGTATCCAACATCCCCAAGAAACATCATGAATACGTTAACTTACGCTACTACGCCTCATGCTACGGCCTGTGCGGGAACCGATGCGCTCGGCCACCCTTTTTCAGTTGTACGGGCGAAATGTATGCAAGTTGAAATATTCAACCGGAGACGGACCCTTGCTATTGGATGCTGGCATGTACGAACATGTCTAGAACCTGGTACTTAAAGTCTGACGGCCTGCAGTCTTCAACAATAGCACGTGGATGTTTGCTGTGTGTTCGAAGTCCGACTCCCCGACTCAAGCGCCCGAGGAATAGAAATCTCGGTAGGCGATTCGTATCTCGCCCTGTATCACGGTGGTCCACGTGACTTATCTGGCAGACACTGTGTGGTAATTGCCCTCTCAGAACAAGCAAACCGTGTACTACTGTCGCCAGAAATAGTCAACGACCGGATGGCTTACGTTCGAATAAAGGGTTATTTTACGAGCATCTATCTCGTCTCTGTGTATGCACCAACATCAGCCGCCGAACAGCATGATAAAGAACATTTCTACACGCAGCTGTAAGGACCGAATTGAAAGATCTCCTCGCCGTGATCTGTTAATTGTCGCCGGGGACTTGAATAGCCGGACTGGGTTCCTTGACCCGTCAAACGGCTACCTTATTGGTCGTTTTGGGCTTGGCTCTCGATCCACAATGTGAAAGGATGCCGCAGTTTTCTGAACAGAACCGACTGTTTATTACCAACACATGCTTTCAGCATCGTCAAAAACATCTACTAACGACGGCTGTACCGCCAGTCAGAATGATTAGTTAGTTCACGGTTTCACGGTTGGGTCCACGATAGCAGGTCGATGCGAGGTGCCAAAACTGGTAACGCCCGCGGGTCGGACCATATTCTCGTTCACACGCGCCTGATGGTTCACCTCTCATCTGCGCCCCAAATGCCACGTACGAGACGCCTTGATGTCGCAAAGCTCCGACAACCCAACATTAGCGAGAATTCCAGTCCCGTCTTACGACCCAAGCTGACAGTGAAGGAAGTAGCAAGTGGTCACCACGGAAGACAGGCATCTATGGGGCAGCTGAGAAAATTCTCGGATCCACTCACCGGCGTCACAATGACTGGATTAGCGGATGAACCCTACGGAAACGACCCGAGCCAGGTCTTGCAACGATGCTTCCTTCCGCCAGCTCTGAAAGCGGTGTTTGCTCACTTTGTCCTAAGTGTTCATCAAACGTCATCCGTTGTAGTCGTAATGGGGGACATACATTTACGCTCTTATCGCAAGGCTCATGGGCAAAGAGAAACCTCACAATATTGACACATCCAGAGACGGTACTTCCTTTTAATTCACTCTTTCAACTCTCTCTATC